CATCCATGTAATGACTTGTCGCCCAGCTTCCATGAAGCCGGGAAGCCATCTCCATGCTCCCTCGTCACCAGATGTGAATTGCTGCCCAGCTTCCTGATTGGCCAGCTTCCTGGCCAATCAGGAAGCTGGGCGGAGAGTCATTACACGCCACGCAGCTTCCTGATTGGCCAGGAAGCCTGCGCCATGGTCCCTCGTCATCAAGTACATGGAGCCGAGAATGACTCGCCGCCCGGCTTCCTAAAACCGAAGTTCCGATATAGGGATAAGCATTGGGAGCATTTAGGCAAGTACTCGCCCAAATGCTCGGTATCGGCACCGATACTAGAGTCTGTATTGGTGCATCCCTAGATGTAGTCATTCCCTCACAGAAAGTTTTCTGTAGGATCCACTTTCATTCTTTTGCAGACACTGGGTGTGTAATAGGTAATTCTATCCCCACCACAATCCTCCCTCCCTCTTGCTCACCTATCAGCAACTTTTAATTTAAAGGCTGAATAAATGTCAATGAAATGAGAAGGCAGAAGATAGGGTAGGCCTGGGAAGAGCCACATTGTTCTGTGCAGGGATGTTCTCTGCCCCTTATGCAAATGTAGGGACAATAATGACATACTAAGACAGTGTTGTGGAAAGCCTTATGATCTTTGGGCTCTGCAGCCAGCACGGATTAACCCAGAGGCTATAGAGGATCCTAGGTCCTGCGCTATGTTTGCACAGCAGCTGGAAAAATGACTGAGATATCCCCAAGACACATAGTTTTGCAATTATGCATGCACTATTTATAACTTGCATTTTCAGTGTGTTTGCATTACATAAAGAAACCTTAGTTCTGCTTTAATAAAGAGGGCATCCAAAGTGCACAGTACTAGGCTCTGCCCAAAGCTTAGTAGGTCAAATCACCAGACTTACTTTACGCATGCATCCGGTAAAAGAGGATTGTGGGCCAAATTGAAAATGGTTAGAGGCAGCAGTTCTGGTCCACAAGCTGCAAGAAAAAAAAAAGTGTTCATGACTTCTGTAAAAACTAACACAGCAGATTATCAGGTAAACCGCATCTTAAAATCATTACCTGCAATGTTGATTGTTTGCATTTTGGCCTGGACTTCAGCTTTAATGTAATGATTATAAAGGCATATTTTTTTTTTTATCCAATCCCCTGTGTGTTTTTAATGCTTGTTTAATTGCGTTTGAAATCTAAACATAACAATCAAATCTATGCTATTTTGGTTATATGTTTTGCATTAACACTGACATTGAACTTTAACATCCTTTTGGCATCACTTGGGATTTTACTCTTGTCCATTGGTGCACTTTTCCAGTCTCTAAGAGGGGACATCTTCACACAGTTTATTGATCTCTATAATAATAGAGTGATTAAATAAAGACTGTGAACGTGAAATTATTTACATTTATTAACAAGCGGTAAAAGAGCTTTTAAAACAAGCCATCACCGACCCTTCTAGCTAGAGCTAATGTGAAATAATTAATTCTCAAAGATCTCAACAAAGACTCTGAAGTCACGTTTAAAGAACAAGCGTAGTTTAGTTTAAAAAAAAAAATTACATTACATCATTCCCCGTCTCCCACAGCATCTTCTATGCCTTTTTGTTCTATCAATAAACAGCCACTGTGGGGATGAGAAAGGATCTGTGGATCTTATTCTGTAGAAAGCTTTCTTTGTTTCTGAATCATAATGGAAATGCACCAGAGCTTCCTGGAACAACAGTAATCAGGCTTATCTGGCATTTTTAAGAAATCCACAGTCTAGAAGAGATTTATATGGGCCTATTCACACTTGTCCATTTTCACACAACAAAAATGTATGCAATTTGCTGCATAAAAATGCGGAAGTAGAAATTAATTTCTAAGTGGCTGGTTCAAATCTATGCGCTGTATGTTTGAAAGGAAATCTATATGGGCACATTCACACCTACATTCGTGAGTTATCACATGCACATGGAATAGTTTGAACAATCTAGTTAAGATGTTTTTTATTAGAAAGCATCATTTTATTTCCTACTTTCTCTTTATTGACAGCTTGTGGACCGTGTATTTGATGAAAGCCTTAACTTCAGAAAGATTCCTCCATCGAATTCATCAAGATCAGAAGCAAGTTTGCGAGCGGGTGATGCAAAAGCCCAGCCTAAAGAAATTTCTGAACCTCCACTTATCACTAGAAGAAAAACATGGAGTAGAGATGAAGTAAGTTCAAATATTAGAGAATCCTAATTGCATGGACTTCTTTTATTGGTACGTTTTTCTGCACCTTTTACACTTGCAATTTTTTTTTCAGTTAACAGATGAATCGTGCATGTTCAGGCAGTTGCTCAATGTATACAGGCAGTCCCCGGGTTACGGACGTCCGACTTACGGACAATCCGTACTTAAGAACGGGGTCCACAGTTCCGCCGGTACATTTAGTAGAACTGTGGCTGCAGCGGCCTGTGTCCTTTCAAATCCCCGCTGCTCTCCACGCCTGTGTTGGCGGAGGCAGCGGGGACACAGACCGCTGCATACCGCCGATGCCCCACGTACCTCCGCTGATGTGCCGGCTTCCTCTTCAGCCGTTCCGTCGGCTTCCCCGGTCCGGACGAAACTCCGGTCTCCTTGTCTGGCCGCGGCTCCTCTGCCCCGCCCCCCCTGCCTACTCTTCATCTGCAGGCTGGGAGCCATACCCAGCCTGCTATTGGATATTGTAAAATGCAATAGCAAGCTGGCTATTGCACCCGCCCACTGCCTGCTGTCAATCTGCATGGGGGGACCTGATAGAGAACTTTCTGCTTCAGGCCCCTCCTCTGCTGATTGACAGCAGGCAGTGGGCAGATGCAATAGCCAGCCTGCTATTGCAATTTGAAATATCCAATAGCAGGCTGGCTGTGGCCCCCAGCATTAAAATACAAAAAAAAGTTTAAAAAAAATTAAATTAAAAAGACAAAAAAAATGTAAAAATAGTAAAGAAAAAGTTAAATGAATAAAAATTTAAAATGCAACCAAATAATAAAAAATAAAGTTTATTAAAAAAAATAAAAATAGAAAAAAACTTTTTGCTGTCATTTAAAATGTTTTAATCTTCTGAACAACAGGAACAGACAGCAAAAGAACCGTGACCCTTCCCTATGCTATCCAAAACTAGAAAATTATTTTTTGGCTGGAGTTACACTTAAAAAATGTACCTGTTCCGACTTATATACAAATTCAACTTAAGTACAAACCTACAGTCCCTATCTTGTATGTAACCCGGGGACTGCCTGTAGTAGGTGCTTATAGATTTTAGATGGCTCTCAGATGTTTAGTAGTAATTTTGCCTACAGAAGGGCTTTTCTCTGCCCACTATTCACATTTACATAAACATTTGTATCCTATTTTTAGCATTTATCCTTGAGTGACAGAAATTGTAGGCTGTGAATCATCAAATTCTGACCAGAGAAAAGCTTTTCTTGCTCCCAGCATTGATGGGCTGAATGTGTTTTGCAGGACTGGGATACAAGTTTATGGGTTTCTGTTTGCCTGGATTACCATGGCTGCCTAGTTTTGTGTAGGTTATCTGAAGTAGTCTACTTAACGTTGTCCAAAGCTGCCATCTATCAAATTGTTTCTGCTATCCCAGGGTGCAGCTTCAATATAGAACACACAGAGAAGTACAGCTCATTCACAATAATAATGTAAGTTATTGAAAATAGTAGTAGAGGATTGTGTCAGAGTACACTATGTGAGAGGAGGCTCACTCACAGTTCATCACCTAGGCACCCAACTGCCCTGAGCAATCCTGCTTTGCAGCTCTGTCCACGGCCACACATCAAGCCTGCACCTATTTCAGGGAAGCTGCCCTGCCTTTCGCTGTAGGGCTGTGAATGAGACGCCGCAAGAAACAAGCACTGGCAACTGTGGGCAAGGCCGTGTGGCCTACTCCAAGATGACAGCTGTTCCCTGCTGGCATTGCTGTCTCCTGCATCCACTTCTGGGCTGTTTGAGCAGGGGCAGCTGGATTTCTCTCCCGTTCATTGAAGGACACAGGTAACAGATCGTAGATCCATGGCACGCGGCGCGGGAGGTCGCGTCACCGCGGCCGCATGTTCGTTCTGATTTCGGCCCCTCGTGCGCGGGCGGCCGAAAATCGAGGTCCCGGCTCCAGTTGCGGCCTAGTCCGGATGCCGCGGCCGCCATCTTGGTTGAGGGCGGCTTGCCCTTTCTGTGTGACTTCACTTCCGGTCCTCGGGTGGATGGGGCGGTCATATTTCGCCGTGATGGCGATTTTCAAGGGGACACAGGTCTGCTGCTGCAGCTGATCCAGGCTGTCGGGTCCATGGCTGAAGGACGTTTTTTGCTGCATCTTCCGTTCTGCTGTGCCAGGGGCCGTGAGTTAAAGGAGGTTCTCCGTCCTCGGACGGCATTCCTGCCGGTGGTTTTGTCGGTTTTCCGAATGAGGACATTGTCTTACCTTCCCTGTGTCCGCTGCTGGTCCATAGGAAGGAGCGGGCGCTCCTCTGTCTGGATGTGGTTCGCGCTCTCCATGTTTATTTGGGTGCTGCGGCTTCTTTCTGCAAGGCCGGCTCTCTGTTCGTGCTCACGGTGGGCCCTCGTAAGGTCCGGGCCGCATTGGCGGCTACCATCTCTAGGTGGATTCGTACTGTTGTGGTTCAGGCGTACGTCGTTAGGGGGCGTGAGCCTCCTTTTTTCCTGTCACTGCCCATTATACTAGGGCTGTTGGGGTTTCCTGGGCTTTCCGCCATAGGGCCTCTGTTTCTCAGGTTTGTAAGGCCGCTACTTGGTCTTCTGTTCACACCTTTTTGTTACGTTGTACGAGGTGGATGTTTTGGCATCGGCGGATGCTGGTTTGGGGCGCAAAGTGTTGCAGGCGACTCTTTGAGGTGTCTTTTGGGTGTTTGGTTGTTGTTGCCCATCCCTCAGTGTGTACTGCTTGGTGACGTCCCTACCATTCAGGATCTACGATCTGTTGCCTGTGTCCTTCAATGAACGGGAGAGAAAATAGGATTTTTGTACTCACCGTAAAATCCTTTTCTCTCCGTTCATTGAAGGACACAGGCCCCGCCCTCTTTATGGGGTGTACACTCCTAACTGCTTGTTACTAAACTGGAGACTTGTCAGCAGGTGGGGGGTTTGGCCACCGGCAGGGGCCGCCCCTAGGCTGTAATTGGTCTTTAGTTTTGTGCCTAGCGTCCTTCTCCTGCAGGTGGCGATATTACCCTACCATTCAGGATCTACGATCTGTTACCTGTGTCCTTCAATGAACGGAGAGAAAAGGATTTTACGGTGAGTACAAAAATCCTATTATTTCACCACCATCCTCACCAGGAGGTAGGAAAAACATCAATTTAAAAAGGATCCCAACATCCTCAGAAATAGGCAGAAAATGAGAGATAGAAAGTCCAATGTTAAACAATGCATTGGGGATCTTGAAGATGTTATCAGGCCTTACTCTGCCAAACACCAGACATTTGAGAAAAGAATCAAACAGGAAGAGGAAAAGGCTGATGATCTTCAAAATCATTTATGCCGTAATAATAACCATTTGGTGGTTCGCCCTGAAAAAATGGAAGGGGATCGATTCGCAGAATTTTTGGAACATTGGTTCCGTGCAGAATTTGGCGAGAATAACCCGTGTTGCTGTTTCGCATTGGAACCAACACACCAAACCCAGGACGTTCCCTGCCTTTATGTAACCCACCATGCCTGATGGTGATTCGCCTCCTGAATTATGGAAAGAAGGATTATATAATTCGCAGGGTGAGAGATTTTGCACCTCCTAAAAGTAAAAAAATGCAAATGTTTCACTGTATTCTGACTGCTCTACCCATGGGCAGAAACTTACATTTAAACTGCATGACATGGGAATGGTCTATGTCAATATATTTTCCACCAAACAATGTGTCTAATATCAAGGGAAAAGCTTTTTTCTTCACTCTTGAAGAGGGTTTTTTTTTTTTTTTAATTTGCCTTGCTTTAAATTGCCCCTGCCAATGTGAAAATTCCGACTCAATGAATGCTGTCTCTTTTTTTTCTACACTGGCTGTAGGCTGTGAATACCCTGCTATTCTTTAAATCGTGTCTGCTACCTAGTGCTGAGACTTATGGCTTTCACTGCTTAGATTTGCTTCATTTATGTTACCTGTTTTATTGGTTACTTTTATTTTAATCCTGGCATATTGTATGGTGTGACTGCAATTTGTGTTTCTTCTTGCTCCTTCCTTATGTGTTTGGTCTGTTCCCTCCCTTCAACTTCTTGGGGTGGTGAAACCCCTTGGTGACCCTAGTTCCCTCCTGCGACTCGCTTCCATTACTACAGTCACCATTTTAGTGTGGGATGTTAGAGGCCTCAGATTAAAATTCAAAGATCTGCAACGCAACGTTTGAATATGTTAAGAAATATAACCCCCATAAACTCAAAGTGTTATTAAAGCCTGAGTTGAAAAAAATTATATAGTGCTGTGTGCTTTTTCTCTCAGGCCTGTGGTTGCTGTGTACTACCAAAATGCCCTCTTCTCAGGTTCCATTTTTTAGGTGGCTCCACATTGAGGTGGTGTGCACTGAAAACAGTACTATAAGCTGAACTTCTTTTGAGCACATTGCACTGCTTCCCTTCAGTACACATCAGCAGCTGTGCAGTAGTGCATGTTGCCCGTGTGAACGGGGCCTAAAGCTGAACTCCAGGTGCTGTGCTGTAGTGCTCATGTGCTAATCAGGGGCATGCAAATAGAAAGAGAGCAGATACATGAGTTCAGCAGCCTGCTGCTTCTTCTTTAATTGTCCAATTACAGGCTGGAGGAGGGGCAAGACTGCGGCAGAAGAAAAAAAAATCAGGACCTGCCAGACAGGGCTGTGTCGTGTGGCAATTTTGTGTAAATCTCAGAACTGGCCAGACAGAAAAACACATTCTGGTCTTATGGAAGACTCAAGTTAGAAAATGGCTGAGTGGAAAATTTGAACTCTAACTTTTGTTTCTTCTCTGTGCAGGTAATGGGAGATAGTTTACTGCTTTCTTCCGTGTTCCAATTTTCTCGGAAAATTAGACAGACCATTGATAAAACTGCTAATAAAATAAGGTATGGCATGTGCGTCCTGAAGTTTGCAGCTTGTTTAATATCTACATTCACATTTGTAATGACGACACTATACTTTTCTGAAAGTTAATGACAGAGCATTGTTTTGTTTACACATTTGGGGTCATTTCTGTAATTGTGTGTGCATTTTTCATATGTATCACTGTTCCCTTACAATTTTTTGTTTTTTACATTACAGAATTTTATTTAAGGACAAAGAAAGAAACTGGGACGAGATTGAGAAGAAGTTGAGATCAGAAAGTGAAATACCACTTTTGAAAACTTCATGTGTGGTAATTCAGCATTTTGATTATAGCTCATTGGAACCCACAGAAATACATATGTAGTCAGACAACATTATACTATCTGCCTTCATTTTCATAGTCTTTTCCTCATTTTCCTGTTAAAGTTGTTGCAGGATTTGTCTAAATATGACTGTAGTCCAATAAGGCACCAGGATTAAACCCTTGTACTCTTGGTGATTAGTCATTTTAGTAACAGAAATGATAAGATACGTAACCTCTTTATCTTCCCCTGCACTACAGGTCAGTGTGAGGAAGGGTGTTGCTGTTATTCAGTTATGGTAGCACAGAGCACTGGATTGGGGAGAGCAGCAAACCGAATCTTTACTTAGAAAAAGGGGTATTTTAATGCATTTCTAAGCAAAAATAAGTTACAAATCATAACGTGGGGGTACAGGCTATAGTGCGACCTTAATTGGTTATGTTATTTGTAATTTTGTATTTGTCAGTAACCACATCGTTGCAGTACGCAACTCCCTAATTTGAGAAATTACCAGAATGCTTTACTAGTTGTTTTTAAATGTTCCCAATTCCTAAACTGCAATAATCCCCACCATGAATTTATACCCTTAGACATCCTTTCAGGAAAAACATTTTTTGAGAGTTTGAAAAAAGGGCCCCCTTTTCCAACCTTTCAGTGTTGCAAAACATGTAGGGCTCATGCTCACCCTTCTTAGGGTTTCTAACACCTGACTGATAGATTTGAATTAGACACTGCTTCAAGAAACACTAAACTCAGGTGTTAAATCATGTTAAAACATATTCGAGTACACTAACTAATAACATAAATGTTTATTTTATTTATGTATCACTCAGCTATCGCTCAGATCCTCATATCATCTCTGAATTGGTGCTGGAGGGGGGCTACTTTTGTTCCCCATGGTCCCTGTGTGTGTTGTAAAGTAGTCACCACTCAACGCTCACTCCTGTGATAGACTACAATCTCATGTTTCGTTTACTAATTTCTATTGAGATTTGTAGTCCATCACAGGAGCGCACTTGGAATGGTGGCTACTTTACAACACACACAGTGACCATGGGGAGCAAAAGTAGCCACCCTCCAGAAGGAAGGACAGTGTCAGCATGATTTCAGGATCTACAGCTGAGTGATACACAAACGATTGTTTCGTGAATAGTTAGGGTACGTGAATGCATTTTTAAGGTTTAACTCCTGAATTTAGGCCCCATTCACACTGCGCGATTTGCATTTTGCGCGATATCGTGCGATTTTGCGCGCGATATCGCGCAAATGCTTGCATTGCAAAGAATGGAATCGCGGCAAAATCCGCTCCAAAAAGGGTCCTGCTGTAGCAGCGCATGACCCTCGACAGCATTCATCCATTGCATCCATTGCATTGGAGAGCGTTATCGCGCGGTAAATTGCCGCAATATCGCGGGAATTACCGCGCGATAAATCGCTCAATGTGAACGGGCCCTTAGTGTTGCTTTAACTATATATGGGTACCTCCTGGTTTATAATATTTCTTGTCTATTGACACAGGAATCAAAAAACAGTTGGTTTATACTGCTGCCTACAGTAGGTATAGACACTGGCAAACAGAAAAATTAAAGGCCAGCCTCCGTATAACCCCTGCTTTACCCAGCATGCCTCAGTATTTTTGCTACTGTTGTAGAAGGTTGGATGCCTTCAGCTCTGCAAGTTACTAGAGGTGACTAGAGGAATTATGTTTGCTAGTCAACACTATGGAGCTTCGAGTGAATTGATTGCCCCTACAACGATAGATCTCAGGGCTGCAGGGTCATCTGACCAAGATTCAGACAACACCACAGCTGTAGCATGCATTAACCTTTAGGAAGGGGCCATAATATCTGCTGCAACCAGGGAGGTAGAAAGGATTCTTTCTTGGGCAGGATTTCAGCCTTGTCCTTGCTTTTGTCCCAGGGGTGGACAATTGTCAGGCAGACCTCCCCTGCCGTCAGAGCCTGGATTGGGGTAATAGGCCCTACACCCAGAGATGTTCCAGGACCTGTTGCAGGTGTTGAATGTTGGACATGGACTCCAGGTTCAACAAATAATGCAACAGGTTTGTCTCCAGGTACAGAGATCCTCCGACGGAAGCTGCTCTGGCAGCTGCATGGGACCAGTACAACCGAATCAACACCCTTCCTTCCCGGAAACCCCTTCTTTGCCTGCTCTTTAGGACTGTGATGGAGGGTTTCTGGGTGATGCTTATAGCTCCAGATTGGTCTAGGTGGATGTAGTACTCCAATCTTCTTATGGGCCTTTTTGATGACTGTTTCCCACCCCTCAGTTGAACTGCTTTGGACATCTTGGGAAAAAGAACAAAAGAGAAGGGCGCCCACCCTAGTGTAGATTGTATTTAATAAGAAAAGCTGCAAGACAGAGTACAATCATACTCACAATAGTGAATCGAATTAAAAGCTTTCAGCCAAAGCATGGACGACATCAGTAAAAGGCTACACAGTCAACCTGTGTGCCAGCACAGGACTCCTTCGTTTACGCGTTTCGGGGGCCACGCTCCCTTCATCAGAACGTGACCTCAACCTCACTCGTGCAACAATAAGTAGTATTGCGGGGCCAATAAGCAGCGCTAAATGCTATTGGAGGCCGCCTCTCGGGTCGGCGTCTAGGTTGCCATGGCAGTACTTCAGCGCTTCTCCCAGCATCTGCCTCTAAAGGAGATGCCGTGCCCTCAGGCCAATCAGTGGGCTCACAACGGGCCAGGCCCCTAGTCTCGCTAAAAAAACTCCCACTGGACTCGGTCGGCCAATCACCAGGGGATAAAATTGATGTAAGCCGGCAAGTGACTATGTGGAGAGACATAATAGGAGGCCCATATTGTTACAGCTCCCCTGGCTGAAGTGGGGCAGCACCCCTAGCAATCCTCGCTTATATACTTTTCAGTTGGTGGTCTCAGTTTGGCGCTTTTGATTTTGTTTAACACTCTATAATGATAGACAATAATGATTCTCAGCGGTTACCAGCCTTCTAGTGCAGCAAATAACTCGAGTCATTTGGTCCCTTTGTGGCAGGACGTACAGTGTACGTCTCCCGTCACGAAGGGGTTAACTGGTTGCTTTGGACATCTTAATCTATCTGAAATCCTGTGTCCTTCAATGGAGGAGAAAGAAAAAAGCATTTTTGTACCTACTGTAAAATCTATTTCTTGGAGTCCATTGAGGCACACAGGTCCCACCCCTCCTGTATTTGCTCTGGTTCTTGGTACTGCTTTAACATGAAACTGAAGCATGCTGGGTATAAGAGGCGTTATGGGGCTGGCTTGTAATTCTGTTTGCCAGTGTGCAAACCTCCTGGAGCTTGCAGTATAACCCGGCTATATCTGAATTCCTGCATCCATGAATGGACTCCAAACAAATAGATTTTTATGGCATATATACCGTATTTTGCGGTCCATAAGACGCACCGGACCATAGGACGCAGGGAGGTCTGGCGCGCCTTATGGAGCACTCGAGACTGTAGCTTCTGTGACAGCTTCTGTGACAGAAGCTGCAGTTAGTGACCGCTGAGACAGGTGGCGCTGTGATTACAGCGCCACGGTCTCAGTGATGACACAGAGCAGGCGAAGAACGTCTATTCTTCGTCTGCTCTATGGTTATCTCGATCGTCGCCGCTGCTCGGTTTTAATACGAGTGATCTCATTAGATCACTCGTATTAAACGAGCAGTGGCTCCTGCTGCTGAACTCGATCGCCGCCGCCGCTGCTCGGCTTTAATACGAGTGATCTCGTTAGATCACTCGTATTAAACGAGCAGTGGCTCCTACTACTCGCCCGGCGCCCGAAACTGCATGTCTCGGGCGTCGGGATTCGCTCCATAAGACGCAGGCACTTTTTCCCCCTCCTTTTGGGGGGAAAAAAGTGCGTCTTATGGAGCGAAAAATACGGTATATATTATTATTCATGGGGTAAACCCACAAATCTCATAAATCAAAGTTTCATATTACCCTATTGCATAGGGATAGAGCATTATCTCATATGCAGAATTTTCCCATGTATATTAAAACGTTTTTTTTTTTCCTTTCTTTTAGGAAATCTTATCAATATTACAAGAACTAAAGAGAATTGAAAACCAGTTACAAGGTATTTATCAGCTTAAACGCCAAGTCCGTTAATAACTGTTTAATATTCTGCCAGAGTCGCTACAAGCAGCCAATGGAGATGAAATTACAGTTTTATAGCTTTGTTTCTCAGGTCATCTGGTACTGGAGAGCTGCCAGTTTGCTTTCTTATTGCAAGGAGAATACACGTGTTAATATGTTTACGTAGAAGACTATCCCAATACAGTTCCCTTATTACTCTTGCAGGCAGAAAAATATCGCTTCTGACATTAGAAGTGCTCAGTTTTACCTAAACAGTTTTTCACTTTGTTGGAAAATCTAACGGTGACTGAGACAATCTGTGAACCCTTCATTTATAGATTCAATCTTTCAGCTGAGTCACATGATTACAACAGTTGGTTTTGGTGCCATTGAGGACTGACATAAATCTACCTGTCCTTCTTTCTCTGGCTCCATCTATGAGGCCCCTATGGTCATTTTTTTAAAGCAGTAAGCATTACTTTTACCAAACATGTACCAATGGTGAATCAATCACTGTCATTTTAAAATACATGCACCTGGAAGATTCACCTGCAATGAATGTTTAGCAAATGTCAGATTCATGTTTTTAGAGCCGGTTCACACCACAAACAGTGCGTTCCAGAGCGTTCAGCCTTTGGAACCCACTGTATCGCAACACAGCCGGCTCCCTGCGTTCAGGGGCGGTTGGGGGTGCATTGAAGTCAATGGCACCACAGCCATACCCCACTCCCGCATTGCGATCGCCCCGCACCAGAACGCGTGGCACATCAGTGCCTGCGTTCCGATCTAGTGTGATCTGCAAAAAATAGTGCTTGGAGCATTTGCTGCATATTGCTCTGGACCGGAATGCAGGCACTAATGTGCCACGCTTTTGGGTGCAGGCGATCGCACTGTGGGCGGGGGGCTTGGCTGCGGTGCCATTTACTTCAATGCAACGACATGCCCCTTAACGCAGGAAGCCGGCTGGAATGCAATTCAGTGCATTCCAGAGCCTGTGGTGTGAACCGGCCCTGCTAAATATACCCCTTAGTGTTTTTTACAGCCTCCCATGTTACAACAGTATCCTATTTTCTGATCAGACCTGAATTCATGGTTTTAAGTAACCCATTTACTTGCAAAATATAAAGCCTGTGGTTTCAGGGGATTAAACATGTGGACATTATAAATGGTGGTCAGAATGGTTTTTCATACAATTGTGTTTTTTCTTTTCTAGTGATTAATGCAATGATCGATCCAGATGGCACTCTCGATGCCCTAAACATGTTGGGATTTGGAAGTCCATTTCCTTCAACACATTCAAACTCGAAACATAGCAGTTCCTCAGTACACTCCATGAATTCGTCATCAGCATCTCTTCCTCACATAGAGAGCAGAGGCAGTCGGTCAAATGTGAAAGCAGCATCCTCAGATGCAGATGGAGTTCAGTCGAGCCCTGATTTTAGCTTACATTTTAATAGGTTCAATCCTGACGGAAAGGAAGACTCCACATCACATGAATAAGAGTATGGCTATAAATGATCCATTTATAGTGCAAAATTAAACAATACCGTGTTCCGTTTTTATGTGTATATGGCTTGTGTTGATCTACAAAACACTTCTAAACAACAAAAACTCAGAATGTGGTACATTTTTTTTAAATAATGTATCTTTCAAATTGAATACCAAATCACATCTTTAAAATGATGGGAAACAATTATCTGTTATTTTAGATCATTTTTATACAAACTACAGGTATAATATAGCGGTCTGTATTAACGATTTAGGAGGGAAAACATTTTACTAGTATCTCCAGAAAAATGACTGAGAGAAATATTTCCAATCTATGTAAGTGCATTGTTCTCATTAGAATATAATAAGAAATAATATGATTTTCTTTGACCATGTGTTGACACCAACAATGTACATAGAACAGTTTTAACTGTTTTAAAATCTTTTGGATCACAAAATTATTTTACACCGTTGTTGCATTGTATTGAACAAAAATCTAATGAATACAATTGTTATTTAGATACTGTTACTGAATAACATTTACCTGTTACTCCTGTTTCATATTTTTATGTATGACGTGATTTTATACCCTTTCGGTTGTGGACTCCACAACTCTTTTACGTCACCAAGAATGATTCATTAAAAGAGCACTTGTGCCTTTGTCGTACAGACAGGTAAGACATTGTTCACATGGCTTTGCATTGATCCATGTTTGCTCTTAAATACATGTATGTATAGCAGAAGCATGTTAGTAGACGTAGTCCCAGTCTCTATGCTTGCAGAACTGAATTTGACTTATTTTCTTCTGTTAAAGCGGAACTTTAGGCAATGAAGCCCAAATGAACAAATGCATACATTCCAGGTGCATAAAGACAAAAGTTGTGCAAAGTCTTAGGCCTCACAAGGGCTGTTAGTGCCAGTGCACATCCTGAAGTTAGGGATAGTTGTCTGACTATATGGATGTTTCCAGGGTCAGACACCAGTCCCTAACCACAGGTGACTGCTGGATGTGCAGATACATGCAAACAGTGGTGGATAGCTGCAGCTCCGGCCAGCTTGTCATTGCATTATACAGGCTGAAAGGTGGCAGCTGCCCACAACAATCTGTGATCCGGACCACAGGAATCTGCAGATTCCAGCTGCATGTTGCTAGTGATGTGAGGCCTTACAGTTTAGTTTCTTTAGAATACAGCCACAGTCTGAGCCACATGCTGTAGAGAAGGACTCTTGCATTGTGTGGAAGCAGTGATCTCTCTGCTAAGATTCAATTTGGGGGTGCAGGGGTTGTCGTTGTCGACCACTGCCACACAGATAAAGGGTCCATCTGTACAGCATGCTGGTCAGGGGTACAGGCTTTCACACTCAGGCTGTGGCTGATTTCTAAATAAAACACACTGCACACCTTTAACACTGTTTTGCGTTGATGCAACCGAAATGTATTTAGCTGATTTAAAGTGATTTAAACTAAATACCTAACATTGTCGCATGCACCCGCCCCCCCCTTCTCAGCTGATATAGAATATACTGTAGTGCTTCCTAGGGGATGATCTACTACAGAAGATATTTTGTCCCATCCGGAACCAGTGGGGAAGAAGACTGCGGCACTTTGGATTAAGGTAAATAATTCTCTGTATTGGATCATCCCCTGGAAAAATGAGCACTATATATTTCAACATCCTAGGGGTTGCATTGTTAATTATTGCCCGGAGTTAGGCTTTAAGGGCAATAATCATCACTCAAAATCATCTCATCATGGCCTTTTATTGTGTACCCATTTTACCTAAACAGCCAATTTGTCACCCCAAGCCTGATACCTTAATCATTTCACTTGTAACACTGGACCCATTCAGCTCATTCTTTCAGAGAATTCTTAATCTCTGTTGTGTCTAGAGACGAAGCAGGAAAGTGGGTAATTGGAGCCAGGGCCCATTGTAAAAAAAAAAGAACAATTTGTTAAATTTGTTTTGGCTTTATTACAGCTGTAAAACAATTCTATAAACACTATAAGGTTTGTCAGAAACCTTTATAAAAAATTTAACCTAACTGCAGTTAGCATTATTTAAGTTTATTTTGTTTAGTTTTTCCATTTAGTATATACCTTGTGTATGTAATATATATGTATGTATGTATGTATGTATGTATATATATATATATAGTATATATGATTTTCTACTTAAATTGACTTAATTTTTTTTTTTTTTATTGAATCAAGACAATAATTGAACTAACATACTAATTTAGGTACTACTTCTTTCCAAGCAGAATTGTGAAAGTATTTATTAAAGCAGTAACAATATTCTGTTTCACATAGCAGTCAGACTGATATAGTTTGATACAAACCAGTCCAGTGCTTACCATGCAAAGTTTGATTTTTTTTTTTTCCTGGTACAAGTAAAGATCTCGGCGTCATTTCACAAAAGGTGTGTGTGTGTGTATTGTTATGATGAGGCACCGCCTCATCATAACAATGCATTTAAAATCATTCACACGGATTATTTCTCCAAGTCTGGTTAATGTTTTTTTTAACAGAAAAATAACAGCTGTCACCTACTCTTTGGCACTATTCCTAGCACATTAACATCCTCTGTGACCCAATGATGCTTTTCTTCCTGGTTGAATGAAGCCTAGTTCATTCAACAAACTTTATGGCCTCAGGGCATCCTTTGAGGGTGTCATCATGGTGCCCTGCACTCACAGTACAATGATGCAGAGAACGGTGTTGGCATCACCAGGGGTGTCCTTGGCATAATCGCTGCCTGTGGTGTGGTGGTGGTTCTGGTGGTCATGTTATGGAAGGGTTTGATGGGGTGATGGTGGTGCACACTAATGGCGATCTGGCCAACGTCCTAGTGTTGCACCGCCACCAGCTCTGGCTGCAGTTCTACCGAGCTCACAGACCTGTCATCAGTGGTTGCCAGGAACTGGGCGGGACACCAGCCAGAGCATCCCAGGTTGCTAGGAGCAGGGAGGGGAGATGTGTATGGCCCTGCTCTTAGCAACCTGGGATGTTCTCGCTGGAAAGAGCCTGCCGTCCGCACACGTACCTCATTATAGTGACACCTGGCACCGAAGAAAAGTGGACCCTGCATGTCACGTGATGGCCTGAAGACTTCTAAAAAATAAATAAAATAGGTAAGTATTAAAAATAAGGGTGGACTTGGGCTCTGCCCCTTTTACTGCCATCATTGTAACGGCTATGGTGTCGGCAGTAGTGGCATGTAAAAAACCGTGTGGCCACAGTAGCAACTGAGATTGTTTACTTTTTAAGAGCGGGCTGATGACTATACTGTAGAATCAATTGGATGTCCAAAAGACCCTGATGTCTCCACAAAGAGTGTCTGTCACTCAAAAAGTACTGTTACATAGGGAAGCTATCGGCTCCTTGTGATAACAATAAAGTTAAGTGATTGTTTTTGGCGCAAAATAAAAATAAGTAACATTAAAAAAAATTACAGCTCCCACACACATAGGCATGTACATAAGCAGGAATAACATGTTTGGTATCTGTAAACACCAGAATGAGAGGAATAATTCTAGGGCTTCTATTTATGGATAACTAAGTTGATGACCTGGAAAGGCTGTCAAAGCATTGCCTATGGACAATTTTGTGAATCTTAAAGAGCCCATACACTCTTCGACTTGCGTTCGAAAATCGTCCACGGATGGTCTTTCGAATCATAATTGATCAGTTGATGAGACGCCAACGATTTTAATTACTGTACTCCTGGCCCAATTTCATTGATCGGAAAACTTTTTTCGAATCGTGCGCAAATCGATGGATTAGTGGCGTTTTCGTACGGAAAAAAATTGCAGCCAGAACACTGCACATGTGCAAACGAAAATCTGTTCTGTCGATAGGCGAAATTTGGTGAGTTAGTATTGCTAACGGACGATTTTTGAAATCGACATTGGTCTGTGCTTGATGGGGTATTTGAGCTAGAATCGAACGAGGGTTTTTGGCAGCAACAAAAATTTCTGAAAAACCTATAGGTGTATGGCCAGCTTAAGTTTGTTGCTGTGTCATGACCGCGCGTAGTCTGGAGTCTTCACACATTTGGTATTTGTTTATTCGTCTCCGTCTCATCTTTTATTTTTTTTTACAGAAAATTGGGAGATTTTTGTGTATGTGCACACTAAATTTTAGTTTGTATTTTTATTAAAAATATAGGTTTGCTAAACAGGTTTAACATAAACCTTACAACGTAAAAAATTTAACTACCATCATTGTATTCCACAGGGTCTCTCCTTTCAGGAGATATATATTGGGATTTTTTGTGCATTTTCATGTAACAAATGCACATTTATTATGTGCGTGCAAAATGGGGGAAAATGGCTCTAGCAGTGAAAGGGTTAATATATCTTTTTTTATTTAATTTTTTTCATTTGTGCAGCAATAACTATGGGGGTCTACTGAGGAGCACAGGGCAAGGGTCTCTTGAAATCGAATACCGCTTTTTGCAAAACAGGTTTTCAATATTAAAATACCTGTTAACGTTAAAAAATTCATATCTAGGAGTTAGTTTGTAGTATTAAAAAAATATATATTGAAGTAAAATAACATGCAATTAAGATAACTCCTGCAGCTTACTGTATTCTCCTTTTAGCCTTATACTTGCCAATGTTTGTTCAAAAGACATTCAGAAAAAAAATGTGTCTTTATTTTACAGAAGACCTTTTGCAAAAAAAAAAAAAAATGTTTATGCCTCAGTCTCTTTTACAAACAAACCACCCCAAATATATTTGTTTAGATTTGCCTGGATCCTTTAATTTTTAGTTGCCAATTTCCAATCTTTATTGTTTATCGTGAAAAAAAATAAAATGATCTGCTTGTGGTCAGCATAAATATCATATATAGCTGCTGTTTGCTTCTGCTTTCTAAAATGTGTGCAGAAGCAGTACATTAAGCTGCTGAACTGTAGGTTTTAGTTATTGTTGGCTATGAAACAAATTGATAACATACTATCACATTTCATTGTTATTAACTGGAAACTGGAAAATGTTGTTCCTTGTGTTTTAATTCATGTTGCCTTTTTTATTTTATTTTTGTTTTTTTAAAATAAGCACATCAGTGGCACGAAAACCGAAGTGGAAACCAATGTAGATCCTAGCCCAGTGAACCTACTAGGGTACATGGACACTACAACTTACTCCTTATGGTTCCCTTTTTATTTATTTATTGTTTTTTTGTTAAGCAGCAGTAAGCTGAAAAT